CACGGTAACATGAGTACTTTGATTAATGATCTAGATATTGTCTATATAAATATATATTAGTTGTTAATAATATCATCAACAAATAATATTCAAATAATTCGAAAAGTTAAATAATATATATATATATATATATATTATTTAACTTTTCGAATTATTTGAATATTATTTGTTGATGATATTATTAACAACTAATATATATTTATATAGACAATATCTAGATCATTAATCAAAGTACTCATGTTACCGTGTATATATACCCATTGAGACAAACTCCATGAATCGACACAAATGTACCAATCCATATTCCACCTCATCACCACAAAGTTTTAAATTTTATAATCTCATGGTGTCACCTCATCACCCAAGGTTTATATATATATATATATATATATATATATATATATATATATTTCTTTTACAACCTTTGCATTTGTACAACCTTTGCAACCCAATTAATTGAGATATATATATATATATAAAAAGATATAATAGTATAATAAATTTTGTAATATAATTTTTAACATTTGGTTTGATTGGTTTCCAACCATGGTTATAAATTTCAAATAGGGTCATCCAAAGAAAGATAATCCTATGAGGCAAACCCTATATTTGACACAAAGGCATCCAATCCACCTTTCTTATACACTTCATATTGTTCAAAATTTTCAATTCTTTACCAATGTGGGATATCTCAATACTCAATTCTCATGATGCCACCTCAATACTCTTGGTTATTCCTTCGAAAAGTTAAACAAAATATAATATATACATACACACACACACACACACATATATATATATATATATATATATAACCATTGAAGCAAACTCCATGAATCGACACAAATGCACGGTGTCACCTCATTACCCCAAGGTTTTACTTATATATATATATATACATATATATATATATAGGTTGGTTATTATACAACCCTTCACATTTGTGCAACCAATACAACCTAATCTCAACCATCCATTTCATTTGATTAATATGTGATTTCATAAAAGTTTTGATTGTTTCATAATATAATGTATTGATCATAATTAATGAACCATATTCATCTTTCATAAATATTCAAATCATAATAAATGAACTCTCATCATTTTCATAAATATCTCATTTTATTGGGTTGTATTGGTTGTACAAATGCAATGGATTATATTTGAAACAAACTCTCTCTCTCTCTCTCTCTCTCTATATATATATATATATGGTATATTTCTTTTACAACCTTGTGCATTTATACAACCTTTGCAACCCAATATTTATATAAATGATTGGAGTTCATTTATTATGATTTGAATATTTATGGAATATGAATGGAGTTTATTAATTATGATTAATACTTTATATTAGGAAATAATTAATTGATTAAAAATTAAATGGTTGAGATGAGGGTTGTATAGAGTGTAGGAATGGCAAAAAGTGTAGAATAACATCTCTCTATATAGATATAATAGTATAATAATTTTTGCACTATAATTTTTAACATTTGGTTTGATTAGTTTCCAACCATGGTTATAAATTTCAAATAGGGTCATCCAAAGAAAGATAATCCTATGAGGCAAACCCTATATTTGACACAAAGACATCCAATCCACCTTTCTTATACACTTCATATTGTTCAAAATTTTCAATTCTTCAYCAATGTGGGATATCTCAAACTCAATCACAATTCACCAACACCTCAATACTCAATTCTCATGATGCCACCTCAATACTCTTGGTTCTTCCTTTTTCAATTATTCACCAATGTGGGATATCTCAAACTCAACCACAATTCACCAATACCTCAATACTCAATTCTCATGATACCACCTCAATACTCTTGGTTCTTCCTTTAATATTAGTATTCAAATAATTC